CCGCGGTAGGTAAGGAACCTAGCTGTTTACGCAAGAAAAGGATTTGACATTGCTTAGGCCCAAAGAACTCAAGTCCAAAGTGACCGAAGGCTCGGCAATGGAGGCCAAGTCCCCAGCGCAGTCGGGATCTCTGTAACCAGGTCAGATCGTATCGTATTCATGAACACGAACATGTAGACCCACTCGAAGAGAGTGCATTGAGTGCCAGTGGTGGTCAGAGAAACACTTGTGAATGATTGGCTGAACCGCCGAACATTTGCGCATCCGTCAGTGACAGTAGTCGCTTGGAAACAATCCTGCGTGGTCGAAGGGAAGCACAAGTTGATGGTATCGACATCAGATGTGCATATGAAAGATGCCACGGTGCTGAGACCCAAGGTACTCAGGTCGACAGTGCCTGCCGAGTTGAACAGAATACCCGACCCGCCAGTGTTACCAACACAACCACGATCTCTGTTAAGAGGTCAGGTTGGTCCAATGATATACCAAGTACTTACGGCGAGAGAATGCATTCAAGTCCAGGGGCGGACAGCGAGGCGGTCTCAAACGATTCACTGAACAAGGGAAGATCAACACATCCGTCAGGGACAGCGCTCGCTTGGAAGCAGCTGCCATCTTGGAAACAGAAGGTTGCGAGGTCGTCATCCCGAGGAAGCTGTGAGAGTGTGTTAATGGACCAGAGACACAACGAGGACGGAAGGTCTGACAATGGTAGGTCCAGCAGTAACCAATGCCGCCAGGAAGAGGGTAAGGAATGTGTTTTTGAAGAGCATTGGTGCCGGTTGTGGAATCTGGGTGTGGAAGTTTTCAGGATTCTGGGAGAATTTGCTGGCTCGATGCCCAGCTTTATATGTTCCATACCCGAGTGATTCCCGAGGAATCCTTCCATCCAATCAAATCCACAGTTTCGGACCTCAGTACGTCGCGTAAATCATCTCATCACCGCCTGTCACTTCTCGTTCCTTCCTACGAGTGGAAGAAAAACCCCTTTTACTGACCATCCACGATCTTCTAACGCTCAATTAGTAATCTTCTTTTTTCCTGTTCTCAAGCGATTGAAGCATAAAGGGCGGAAGCCATACGTCTTCCGCAGCTGGAGCGACTTCGTGTGTCGTATGTTCTTCGATGGGGATCCAGAGGCCATCCAGAGTCTACAATCTCGGGAAACCATTGATTGCAACAGGTCAGCCTGTTATCCGATTCGACAGCGCTATTGACTTTGAGTCAGCCAACGCTCCGGTGAGAAGGGGTAAAAGCGTATTGAAACAGGTTTCGTAATCAGACAAACATAAGAACGAGAGGAGGGCGTTTAAGTGTAGTTCAAGAATAGCACACATACACTACAGCGTGAAAATAAATTCCGCGCGACAAAGGGTGCATTATAAAATTTGTACCGGCTCTCTGCGTCCCATGCAGAAAAGAAAGCGACCGTCATGGTTATGGGATACAACTCAGCGCCTTGAAGTTTTCAGCATGGCACAGCTCCCACGTGTTGTCCACCTTCCGCCAAGCACGCGAATCTAAAGAACGTAAGCTTCAACTATTGGGCAATAGATCTGAGCGTACAGAAGCGACAAGCCTCTAATGTCGGACAAACGTCCCCAAACCCTTGAACTATGAGCTGTTCTCCCGCTTCAGTGTCCCCGAGAAACTGGCTATCGATCGTGAGCACGTATTCAATGGAGAGATATGCTAAGCCCGTGAAACGCGAGAGGGAAGTTCTGAGATTATCTAGCGTGCCCTGTGCGCGAGTGAGCATGTGCAGAAGCGAAAGATAAAGGCCAGAGGCATACGCGGAGTGAGTGCAGTTGGTACAGTCGCAGATGGAGCGTCTTCATGTGCGGTATGTTCTTCGAAATGGAGTCCACAATATCCGAAAATGGGATGGGTGCAAAGACATCGTTGGAACACACGAATGGCTCGTTGGGGCGTGTCATTGACTTTAGTGCTGAGATCGTGCACTCGATGTTGTCTACATCCCAGTAGAGCCTAGCCTCTTTCAAATTGGATGCAGCAATGGAAGGAACGAATTTGATAGGGCAGGAAAGGTGCTTGAGATGCTGAAGTGGAATTCGAGGCGACACCGAGGGTGAGGCTTCCCGCACAATCCAGTCCTGAATACGTAACTTTGTCAATGCTGGATGGCGAGTGAGGAAGGAAGCGAGCGTGTCTTCCCGCTCTGTGGAATTCCAATGCCGCTCCTTGGTGCCCAAACTGCACTGGACCAGATGGGGAAACGTGCAAGCCAATAATTCTCGAAGATGCCCGTCTTGTAAGAGCATCAGGTCGATCGACAAAATCTCGACTCGCAAGAGGCTTTTTGACGAATCAGCCAGTAGCCGACTCAGTCTGTTGTGAACCATGGCGTCGATTGAAGAGTAAATCTTGACCGATGACTCACCTTGATGCAGTGATAGGAAAGCACGAGGAGGCCACTGTAAGCGACCGTACTAGGGCTGCAAGGGCAGAATTTGAGATAATGGTAGAACAGAACGCCACCGCGGACGCATGCGTTTCGAGACGCACGACGCCGTACAGAACAGGAAGACAGAGGGCGTGAAACAATTGGGAGACGCGGCAGAGCGAAGCTCGATCCGTTTGGAGTGCAGCTACGATTATCTCCGTGATAATTTCGTTGGGAAGCCCTCTGTATATGGCCGTGGATGCTCGAAGAGTCAAGACCATGGTGGAGGTTGTGTGCAAGCTGCGGTTCCGTGTGGGATCGGATCAGTCACCCCGCGATCCGGCTCGGCAAACTCAAAAAACCCCATAACCCAATTATAAATTAGTTCCACCCTGCTAAAACTGTCCTTCATAGGGCAGGAGAAGGTTCAAGTCAACTCCACCTCCGAATGGGTCTTCTGCACGCACTTTTTTGTTTTCCTTGATGAGTTGAGAGCTAGATGGGGCTCAAAATTCCTTCATTGAGCCAAGGTCGAATGAAAAAATTCCTTCACTGAACCAGGGTCGAAATTGGATGAAGGAATCGAACGTGGTGTATGGTGCACGGCCCTGAATTATATATATCTTGTCAGACGCGGTACATTTATCAGGGCAGGACGGGGTTCGATTCCCCGCATTCGAATATGTTAACCGGCTTGACTTTTTCACCAACTGCATCGGGACTGTTGCAGAGCTAGGAATCGGACGTGGTGTATGGTGCATAGCCCTGAATTATGAAAGGTCGCGAAAATTTATAGAGAGCAGGACGGGGTTCGACTCCCCGCGTTCAGATGTACTGTTTGCCTTTTCTTTTTTCCAAACCCGCTAAGTCTATCCTATGAAAGGGAGGGTGTTCACAGAGATAGGAATCGGACGTGGTGTAAGGTGCACGGCCTTACCTGGTGCTTGAGGTCTTCATGTTCAAAGGCAGGACCGGGTTCGATTCCCCGTGTCCGAATTCATATCGCTGTTGGATCTTTTTATCTGACCGCACTAAATTCTTCCTACAAAACCCGGCGCATTTACAGAGCTAGTAATCGGACTTGGTTTACGGTGCACGGCCCTAACTTCTAGCAAACTAGGAAAATTCCTAGAGGGGTTCGACTCCCCGTGTTCGAATAGTTGCTGTCAGATTTTTTTTTCTGCCCAGCTCCATAAATCAATCCTACCAAAGCCAGGGCACTTACAGAGCTAGTACTCGGACGTGGTATACGGTGCACGGCCCTGAATATTGTGGGATTGGTGTGATCTTTCCTAGGGCAGGACGAGGTTTGACTCCCCGCGTCTGAATGCAGTCGTCCATAAGGCACTTTTTTGTCTAAACCCGTAAATCAATCGTATAAAAGGTGGGGAGTAAGGAATCGGACGTGGTGTATGGTGCACAGCCCCGAATAATGCGTATATTGCCGTGACATTTCCTTGGGCAGAGGGGTTCGACTCCCCGCGTCCGAATAAGCTCTGAATCATCGATTTTTTGTATCCAACCCCTGGTAAATCAATCCTATAAAAGCTATGGTGTTTAGAGGGGAATAACTCGAACATGGTGTATGGTGCACGGCCCTGAATATTGTGGGGATTAATCTGATCTTTCCTAGGGCAGGACGGGTTCGACTCCCTGTGTTCGAATTGTCTAAAAGGATGATCCATTTTTTTTGGCTGCCCCTGCTGAATCAACCCTATAAATGGAGGGCTGTTTACAGGTGAAAAACTCGAATGTGGTGTATGGTGCACGGCCCTAAATTCTGCCGTGTTCGGCTCGAGTGTGTAGGGCAGGACGGTTTCGACTCCCCGCGTTCGAATCGTCAAGCGCTCTTTTTTCTCCAACTACAACGAAATCAATTGTATAAAAGCTGGTGTGTTGGGTTTTGGGTAGGGAATAACTCGGACGTGGTGTATGGTGCACAGGCCTGAATATTTGGAAACCGTGCATCATGTTCTTAGGGCAGGACGGGGTTCGAATATTAGTCCGTGACAAACTGATTTTTTTCTATCCTAATAAAATCTATCCTATAAAAGCTGGGGCGTGTATAAGGGAATGACTCGAACGTGGTGTCCTGTGCATGGCTCTAAATTCTACGGAGTGTAGAAGATTAGATCAAGGGCAGGAGGAGTTCGATTCCCCGTGTTCGAATTGACGATGTGGTTTTTTTCTATCCTTCTACTGAATCAATGGTATAGAAGCTGTGTGTACAAGCGAATAACTCGGACGTGGTGTTCGGTGCACGGCCCTAAACTCTAGGTCAGTTGCCATGAAAATTAATCAAGGGCAGGACGGGGTTCGACTCCCCGCGTTCGAATGAAGTCTGGGACGGCTGGATTTTTTTCTAAGTTGTCCTTCCACTAGATCAATGCTCCAACAGACAGGGTGACCTCAGGTGGATACCTCGGACGTGGTGTATGGTGCACAGGTGCACAGCCCTGAACTCTGGTGCAGTGACTTCTCATGGGGCAGGTGGGGTTCGATTCCCCGCGTTCGACTCATCCTTGAAAATCGATTTTTTTTCTGTCCTTCCACTAGATCAATGTTATAAAAGCTGATGTGTTTGCATAGCAAGGAATCGGACGTGGTGTATGGTGCATCGCCCTGGACTTTTGTGGGACTGGAACAATCCACAGAGGGCAGGAGGGGTTCGACTCCCCGCGTTCGAACAGTTGAATTCTTTTTTGTGTCCTTTTGCTAAACCAGTTCTATAAAAGCCGGAGCATAGAGTAGGAAATAAGTCGAACGTGGTGTACGGTGCCCGGCCTTGATATATGTAGGGTCCGAAACGGCACATTTGTCAGGGCAGGACGGGGTTCGACTCCCCGCGTTCGAATAGGGTCTCTAGCTTGAATTTTTTTCTTCTATCCTTCTATTGAATCAATGGTATAGGAGCTGGGCTGTGTACAGGCGAGTAAGTCGGACGTGGTGTACGGTGCACGGCCCCGGATTGTTGCGCAAATAGTTTGCAACTCTTGGGGTAGGAAGGGGTTCGATTCCCCGTGTCCGAATAACTTCTTGATCGTTAGTTTTTTTTTGTACTGCACCGTGAATTATTCACGGTGAATCTCACCAGCGTAGTCCTATTTACCGCATACCCACCATCCTGGCGACGCATTTCAACCCCCCCCCCCCCCCCCGCATCTCCGAGTAAAATCCGACGGCGATCACGGCTGCATGTGGCCATACACTCACTGACGATTTTCCTCCACGAAATCAATACCACTCTCCTTCCCACCACCACCTATCTCATATCCAACGCGCGCCCGCAACACGAAGTAAAGTAAAGATAAAGACAAGCGATTATGTCCCGCCTCATTTCCGAATCTCTGTCCGCTATCTCCGGCCGTTGAGCCGCCTTCGTTCCACACTATTTTCTGTGTTGCGTGCCGTGCGTCGACACAACGTCGGCTTGCCTTTTCTTCTTACTTTGCCGTGTGCATACCACACACCATGACGAGCTCGGATGTCCTCGCTGACGAGCGCCCCCGCCGCCAGCGCCTCCGCCTCCCCCTCTGGTGCATCTCCCTTCCCTTCCTTTTTCCCTCCTCCCTCGTATATATACGCCCTCTGTATCGCTGACCATTTCCTTTTTTTTTGGTTGCAGGGATCAGCCTCCCGGGCCTCTCGTCCATCCTCGATCCCGGCGGCGACGACTCGACGTCCGACAGCCCACGAGCGCGAGCGCGCCGGCCCCAGCGCGAGTGCGGGTGGCGCCGGCGCCGGGGGCGGAAGCGCCAGTGCGAGCGACACGGGGAGCGCGAGCGCGAGTGCGAGTGTGCCGCCTCCGACGACCAGCGCGCCGCCGACTACGCTCACGAGCGCAAGCGTGACGGTGAGGCAGCCGACGTTTGTGTGCGTGCCTTTCTCTTTTCTCTTTTCTCCTTTCTCCCTTTCCTCCTTACTGCTTTTGCCGTCGTGTGCCACTCCATCTCCCTCTCGCTCTGGCTCTGGCTCTGCCTTTCTGCGGCGCCACGCCTCCGCCGCACCGCCGTCCGCCTCGACTCGGACTCGGCCTCAGTCCTTCGAACCATCGGGATACCGAACTGCAGGGGCGCTCGGGGCCGGCGGGGTGGTGTGGCGCAAAGTCGAGCCTCGCTCCTCGCTCCTCGCTCCGCGCTCCTTGCGCTGCCGGGCGCGCACGTCCACCGCGTCTTGCGCGCACGCCGGACGAGGCGCGATGTATGCGGGACGTGTGCCGTTGCGGGGTGTTGATATGCGTGCGCCTCGGTGCTGTGGCGGCCGTGCTCGTCGCGGTGTCGCGGTGGCGGCTCGGGTCCCTGTCGGCGCACTGAGCACGAGCACGCTTACCTCGCGTCGCGCTGGGAGGCGCGGCTTGCCTACTGGTGCTGAGGGCCGCGCCGCTTCGCCTTCGGGACCGCCCCGTTTGCGGCGTGCGGCGGGGAGCGAGTGCTTTGCGGCGCGTTGCGAGGAGTTCTTGGAGGCGAGACGGCGCTGTGGGGCTGGGGCTAGGACGGCGCTGTGGGGCTGGGGCTAGAGTGGTCGTGCGAGCAGTGTGCGGGCTGGTGGTCCCACCGACTCGGATGCGCATGTCTGCGGGTGGTGTGCGTCGCGCGTCTGCCCGCGCGGCAAAGGCGCGCCTGGGCTTTTTCCTTGTTGGTGTGGGGAGGTCGGTTCCTGTGGGTTTGCGCTGGGACAAGGTCGCGGGTGCGGCGGCCTGTGAGGAGGGGTTGGGGCGGGAAAGGAAGGGGCTCGAGGCGGGTGGAACCGCGTGCGGTCGGTGCCTTGCGCGGGCGTCGTCGTCCGCCGTCTGCGTGGGTGCGGATGTCGCGGTGCGTCGTGCGCCCGAGGATGTGCAGCGGCTGCGCGTCTCGGGGCCCTGGCGGTTGTGCGCTTCAGCGACCTCGTGCTGCAGAGGACCGCGCGCCTTCCCTCGTGCGGCGCGGGCTGCGGGGCGCGCGCCCGCGCCCCGCGCATGTCGTGCATCACCGCATGCCGTACCCCGCGGGGCGAGGCGCCTTTCCACCGCTTGCGGCGAGCTGTGGTTTTGCAGTTGGGACGCTCGCCTATCAAACTGTCTCACGGGTTTCAGCAAATTCCCTAAAGCGGGAGGGTCTCCGCGTGAAACCGGGTTTCTCATTAGATAATCCCGGGACGCCTTTCTGCTTTACATTCTTGACAACTTACTGGCACTCGATGATATCCGTCGCTTTGATCGGGGACGAAGCACCCGCGCTTCTACGCGGCCCTGCCCCTTCCAAACACAGGATCACAGGACCAGGTTAAAGCTCCAACCATTTTGTTTCTGTTTGCGAAATTCCGCAAACCAAACGGAAACGATAAAAAATATGTTTAAACTGTTTATAAATGGTATGGTCAGGATAGCATTCTTGTACCTCTCTGAATAGATTCACTGCAGTGCTTGGGGCTACTCAATAGCTTCCAGAATCTCATATCTGTCTCCGACTTTGATGCTGAAGGTTATTTGAGGCCTGAACACAAGATTTTAGTTCCGCCGAGATGCCTGGGGGTGGCCAGTTCTGGAAATATCTCGTCAATCGAGAATCCATGGTGAGAGGTGACATCTTGTGGTTAGTTGAAGTGTTCACCCGTCTTGTTGTGCACCATAATTATAGCAGATGTTCGAAAAATCAATCACCAGCTGGTTTATTTTTGCAACCATTTAAACCGTTTGTTTACTATCTGTTTACCATTTACGCAGGTCCATAAACTAAACGGAAACATAAACGGTATTTACCGTTTAAAATGGAAATGGTTGGAGTCTTACCACAGGTGCAAAGTTTAAGCAGTTGGTCTTCCAACTTCATGGCGCTCAGAGTCGGCTGCCAGTGAGAGTTTGCACCTTTAATTTGGACATTGGGGCCCTGCCCAACAAATTAAATGATATATTAAAACCCCAGGTACACCTGCATGATGCTGAGACCATGTTACAGTACAGTACTGGCAGTGAATCGTGGATGCAGATCGTTCGTAGATCGCAATCTCCGGGCAAAGTGAAACTGCCGGTGGCGCCAGTGTGGCGGCAATCAAATTTCTGTGCCGTCGGTTTCACTTCCCACAATGTTAATGGACAATACTCTTTGAACACCGCGTATTGTACAGTAAATTTGCGAGGCTCAAAGGTCCAGATTGTCGGTTCAACTTCGAAAATTACCATACACCTTGGCATCAAACGGCGCCAATGTACCTCTTTGGCCGGCGCCATTCGGTGCCAGTTTGGTACCAGAGTCAGTGGGACGGGTGTCATCATGGCGCCAGTCTCACTCGGAGGGGGCGCCACTTTTACTACGTGAGTCGGCGCCAGTGTGACGGGTTGGCGCCAATATCGGCGCCAAATTGACGCCTCGATTTGGCTCAGCAATGGCTGAAATCCGGCACGAGGTCGTGCGTGGGGAGTCAAGGTGACAGCATGACAGCAACTCTACTTCTGACGTCCACCCCCTCACTCTGCGAGTCCAGCCTCTGTGAGTGCCACTTTGCAAGCTGAAGTTCCATTCAGGACTCTGTGCATTACTTGCTTCCGACCTCACCCTTCATTCAGACCATTTCCAGGAAATTCGCAGGAAATTCGCATCCACATTGAATACAATGGCTTCAATCTTCCGCCAGGACACACCCCCGAATACTCCCAGGAGCAATGAGCTCAAAAGAATTAATCATCACGGGCTTGTATCCGTCATTTACTCAGAGCAGTCGCTTGAAATGCCATAGACTCAATACTAATTGATGATGGACTTGTGAATTGAAATAAATTGGCTGGCGCCAAAGCATTTGCAGCACGGCACCAGTGTGACAAAAATGACGCCAATTGGAACTTAGGTGGCGCCAGTTGGTGCCAGTGGCGGCGCCAAGGCGCCACTTTCATCATGCCCTCAATCTCCACTTGAGAATATCAACGGTGGAAGGGACTTGGGGTTGAAACCCGAGACTCGGAACGCCGTGATCCTGGGACCATGTTACGGTACAGTACTGGCGCGCGCTTGAATGCTTCCATTCCGTCGAAGAGCACCCTCAAACCGGCGAACAAAGTCAGAGTGGATCATTCAGGAGTAAGGGCGATCCTGATTCCTGTAACGATTCGGAGGTCAGAGGCCTGCACGAGAAAACAATTGGATTTCGACGACCCCAGGCTAGCGCTTTCGATTCTGGGTAGGTTCTGCCAGACGGGGGTCGATTCTGCGATGGGTTCTGAGCGGGATATTAATGAGAAAACAGAAAAGTAGTGTTAAGGAGAGGTAAGAGCAGGAATCAGCTGCCAGCACTGTGTGGTAGTGTCAATGATTGGTGAAAGACACAACGCCACCGCCGCCTATTCATTGGATTCCCACTCATCGACGTCAACTTGACATCTAAGCACAAAAAAAAATGAATTCACCTCGGCCTGCTGTCAGCCTAGGAATATTTCGAGCGGTTCCACACTGTGCTTCCTAGAGCGAAGCAAACGATTGCGAGCAGAGCACAAGGTTTGCGACCAAATGCCTGTCATGCGTTTGAGAGAGGATGGTATATCGAAAGAGAAAATCCTACTGTAGCCAGATTTCCTGACATAATAGGGACGATTGCAGTGCTCGCCAACGAATAGGCGGATGAGACCCAGATGAAATTAGTGCCGTGAAGTTCATTCACGACGCTAGGCAGTACAGTAGACACGGATGTCTTGCCGCCACTGAGTACTGATTGTCTAGAC